AAAGCAATCTGAATCATTATGTTGATAAGTATGCTTCATGGTTACATGCGACCTGGGATGGTGTATGTTACTTTTTAACATATCCCTTCAGGTTAATTAGATTAGCTTGCGATGCGATTATACTTACTTGTTTACACTATTTAGAACTGGTGGGATTTGTAGAAGGTATTCTGGTTGCCTGAGAGAAGGTATAACTCAACCTCCAAAATAAATAAATAATCATACGAATAAAACCAGTTGCGTCTTTTAAGCTAGTGAATTTTAAATGCTGATAAAACTAGCCAGAGATCTTAGCTGATGCTTAAGCAGAGGGGATCTCGATAGCTGATGAGTATAATAGATATCAGCTGTGAATTGTTTTTTCATAAACAGGAAAGTTCTTCTAGCTGGGTATTGTGCTGCCTTTTATCTGTTTGGGTAGAACAAATGTAGTGAATATGGATATATATCAAGTTTGGCTTTTGCTGACGATTCTCAACAGTTTATTTCTCAGGCCACATGGCACGCTCACCAGGGAAACCCAGATTTGAATGGTCCCCGCGTGGTGTCATTTTGTCGTTTCGTGCTTCCCGAGAGGAAGCTCTCTTTTTGTCACTGCTCAAGAGCAGCTAACAAGGCTCACAGCAGAGAGAACTAGCATCAAACAGAGGGAAGAAGGACAGTGCGGTCATGGGCAGGATTTGTTTGTCTGAGGACATGATAAGGCCCGAGGATGGATGACATGTTCACAGAAAATCCAGGGAGCAGGAGCTAGGGGGCGACTAAGGGCGGCAGGAGGCAGTGGAGAGAGTGCAGAATCGGCCTCACGGCCCTGGCCCGACACTCGCTTCTCACCAACTTGAGCCAAGCCAACCATCCTCAAATCTGCAGAACATCAGACTCCTTGATGTTTAAAAAGCTCATGCTTCTCCATTGTATGAAATGAAGTATCACCTCAACCCGAATTCCTACCCATGAGGTGGTTGCAGGTTTAATGTAGAAAAACACAGAGCCTTTTGGTAAATTCATAAACAATAACCAGAGCTGCAAGAATGAGGCTTTTCTAACTTGTGGTCTGGTCTGGTAGAAATGTTGATTAAAGATGCACCAAGGGAGCGACGTGGAGACTTGTTATGCCCAAGGAGAACGAAAGTAAGGAATTCAGTTCCCTCTGCCATGGAGGAAGGGCAAGCATTTCATCTATCACAGCACCCACCCTAACAAAATGCCACCAGGAGGAGGATCGGCGACACAGGTGTACACCACACCACCAAGACTCCAGCGCCGATGATAGTATACAAAGAACTGCGCACACAGTGTTCTCTACATATCATGCCCTGTTCCGAGGCTTAATATAGATATATAATTCAAAAAAACGAACCTAGAAATAATTTTACATTATGACTGTCATTATAACCCTGCATTCCATCAGAAAAAGAAAGGAACAACAGTTAAAGACCTGCCGTAACAGATGTGGGATCCAACAAGCATCCTCCAGGGTACCTCCACGCCTCAACAGACTACAGCCTCTGAGTGTGAACAGTAGTGACACGGTTTAAAAAAAAAAAACCAAAAAAACTGAACTCAAGCTTGTAGAAAGTCAAGACTAAAGGGGCTGCTGAAAAGAGGGAGATGTCCAAGGCCACACACTTTACAGACACTCTTTTAAATCATCCATTTTGTCAATAACAACCTCAACTGAGAATTCCTTTTAAGAGTCAGGAGCCTCTCCGCAAGCCACCGAGCCTTCCCAGCATCCTCGTGTGCCGTCTCCACCTGACGCCCTGACACTAACCCAGCCCTTCCCTCGTTTGGCTTTCAGCCCGAGACAGTGATGGAGCTGAGGAGGATGTAGCACTAACTTCCTGTGGTACTCCCATTCCGCCGCAGGTAAATGTGCTCGTCTGCGCTCACCTAGAAGGGACACCGCCAGCGCTCCTTGCTTAGCAGAGCCGCAGGATCCACTGGCAGGGGCTTTACTGATGCAAGAGAGGAAAGGCAGGGCAGGATCGTACCGACAGGTGCCCAGATTTAAGCCAGGCCAGGCGGTGCCACCGAGCGGGGCACGCCTTTGGCCTCCACCCGGGCCCCTCCCAATCTCCGCCACACCAGCAGTCTCGCACGCTGCGGCAGGTGCGTGGCCCTGGAAAGACGGCTCGAAGGGTTTATGTGAAGGTGAAGAGGAACAGGCTTACCACGTTTTGCCTTGGGGACAACTGTAAAAGTGTATGAGCTCGAGGTCTGTTTTTAGCGGCCATTGTCTGAATCCATCGCCTGAGCCCCACTACCTGCCTCTCTGTCATTCACTGTCTAGCTCCAGCAGCCCAGGCCACTCCGAGAACTGGTCTAGGTCTGTCACCATCTTCTGGGTGCCAGGTTGATGATCCAGTTGTAATCCTTTCAGGCAAAAGCAGAGGGAGCACTGCTGAAGAGTTGGGGGGGTAACACACATTTGTGCTGTGATGGCCTGAAGACATACACATCCGGACAGCCAGAAATACCACAGTGGAACACAATGCCTGTATTATAGGGATCAAAAGTAACTGAAATTCCAGAGAGTGAAAACCACACTCGCACGCGTTTGTTCAATGAACTTTACTAGGCAAATACCTAAGCTAATCCCTCTGGTCTGTTATCTGAGAATTGGCTTTTCCTAGAATGACAGACACATTGGGCCAGGACATAGCTATATCATTTGCTTTAACCAACGCTCAGGAGGGCATTTACACGATGAGACTATCTTTATTATCCGCCCCCTTGAGTTTCTTGGATCAGTTTCAATCTCCAGTGATCAGCTATTCAAGATCCTCGCAAAAAGATCCCTGTTCATGGCTAAGAGGGAAGCCTGATATAAATAGGCTCAGCGCTTTTTTCTTCTTCTTTCTTATTAACAAAGAATTAAATAGTGGTGAGGCAATACTTCAAACATAGTTCTGCAGGGTGTGTCATCCCCTATGTTGGCTCAGAAAGTTGACGATGGCCTTTCTTTCCTTCCAGATGGTTGATCCCACACAAGAGTGTTTCATCCCACGGGCTAAGCTGAGCCCCCAGCAAGATGCAGGCATATAAAGTCCACAGGAAACATGAAGAGTGGAAACCCAGAAGACCATCCTGGGTAATGCAGCCCTGATGGGCCACTGGGACGCCCACCGCGTCCTACTGCTGAGGAAGCATCGTCCCCTTCCTTCTGTTTCCTCGCCCTTTCATCCACTTGGACTCTCCATCAGAAGACGACCTTCCAAGCATAATTATAATCTTGCTGCTCCCCTCCCTTGACTGTGTGTCTCTTTCTTCATTCGTGTAACTGGAAAATTCCCTTTCTTATCAATGCTGAAAAGAATCAGTGCCTCTTACTCGTGGGACCAAAAGAGCCTGGTCTGAAGAAATTAGGGGCATCCCAATGTGACAAAGTATAGAGGTCAGTAGAAACTTACTACACTCTTCTAGCCATTCTTTTAAATTATGCTAAAAAACACGTAACACAAAATTTAGCATCTTAAAATGCTTACGTTTGTAGTTCAGTAGTGTTAACTATGTTCATATTGTACAAAAGATCTCCTAGAACAGTCTCCTCTTGCAAAACTGAAGTTCTAAACCCATTGAACAACAACTCCCCCCAGCCCATGGCAACCACTGTTCTACTTTCTGTTTCTGTGAGTTTGAGTACTTTAGATCTCACATAATAGAATCACACAGTATTTGTCTTTTTGTGACTAGCTTATTTCACTTAGCATAATGTCCTCAAGCTCAAGGTCCACCCATGTTGTGGCATGAGACAAGATTTTCTTCTTTTCTAATGCTGAGTAATATTGCATTGAATGTGTATACCACATTTTCCTTTGTTTTTTTCTATGTAATCTTCTTTTCTTTCTTTTTTTTTTTTTTTTTTTGAGACAGTCTCAATCTGTTGCCCAGGCTAGAGTGCCGTGGCATCAGCTCAAGCGATCCTCCTGCCTCAGCCTCCCGAGTAGCTGGGACTACAGGCATGCACCACCATGCCCGGCTATTTTTTTCGATTTTTGGTAGAGACAGGGTCTCGCTCTTGCTCAGGCTGGTCTCAAACTCCTGAGTTTAAATGATCTGCCCACCTCAGCCTCCCAGAATGCTAGGATTACAGGTGTGAGCCACCGCGCCCGGCCATAATCTTCTTTATTAACTTTCCTTCTGGAGATTTAGCATCATGAAGCCCACATTTTTTACTTTTGAGTTGCTTTTACCTCTTGGCTATTGTGAATAATGCTGCAATATTTGCATGGGTATACAAACATCTCTTTGAAATCTTGCTTTCAATTCTTTTGGATATATACCTGGTAGCGAGATTGATGGGTCATAGGGTAATTCTATTTTTAATTTTTTTTTTTTTTTTTGAAGGACAAGAGCTCACTTGTTGCCCAGGCTAGGACGTTGAGTGCCGTGGCGTCAGCCTAGCTCAACAGCAACCTCAAACCTCCTGGGCTCGATGTGACCTTTCTGCCTCAGCTCCCCGTACTGGGATAACAGCATGCGCCACCATGCCCGGTCTAAATTTTTATATATATATCCCTAGCTTTTGCCATTAATGTCTTTGTATTTATAGATAGAACGGGTCTCACTCTTGCCTCCAGGCGGTTTTGACTCCTGACCTTGAGCAAGTCCGCCCGCCTCGGCGTCCCAGAGCTAGATCTACAGGCGTGAGCCACAGCCGCCCGGCCCGCTATTTTATTTTAATTTTTGAGGAATTTCATACTGTTTTCTTTTTTTTTTTTTTTTCATACTGTTTTCTATAGTGGCTACACCATTTTACATTCCACCAACAATGCACAAACAGTTCCAATTTCTCTACAATCTCACTAACACTTGTTATTTCCTGTGGTTTTTTTATTTCTTTATTTTTTTTTTTTAGTGTCAGTCCTAATGAGTATAAAGTAGTCATTTTTTATAAAGGAACTCAAAATATGATTGGCCCAAAATTTTCTATAAAAGTTATAGAAGAAGGCCGGGCGCTGTGGCTCACGCCTGTAATCCTAGCTCTTGGGAGGCCGAGGCGGTGGATTGCTCAAGGTCAGGAGTTCAAAACCAGCCTGAGCAGAAGCGAGACCCCATCTCTGCTATAAATAGAAAGAAATTAATTGGCCAACATGTATATATAGAAAAAATTAGCCGGGCATGGTGGCGCATGCCTGTAGTCCCAGCTACTCGGGAGGCTGAGGCAGGAGGATCGCTTGAGCCCAGGAGTTTGACGTTGCTGTGAGCTAGGCTGACGCCATGGCACTCACTCTAGCCTGGCAACAAAGTGAGACTCTGTCTCAAAAAAAAAAAAAAAGTTATAGAAGAATCGTCAGGATCACAACTGGGCGATTTAAATAACATGGATGTTTCCATGCACTTGCAAGCTGGCAGGCTTCCTTCTATGATGTTACCATCCCGTGACAGCTAAAATGGCAGAAGACATGGCTGAGGGCAGTGACCTGCATTGCTGAACCCATAACAGCAAAGGAAGAGCCACCCTCGTTGATGCTCATAAATGATTTTAAGTGGCGAACATAAAAAGCATAGTCTGCCTGTCTTGATGTTTCTAACAAGCTGCTGTCTCTGCACTAATTGTCTTGTCTTTGTTCCTCGTGCAGCCACACATTCTTCTCAATGGTTTCCCTTGTCCTTAACACTCATTTGTTATACATAACAGGTATAACAGGACCAGAGTCAGAGGTGTGCCTCCAGAAGGGTCCTTAGGGTCTGATTCAGCCCTCCTACCTTGCAGATGAAAGAACAGAAGCTTGGAGAAATTGAATGACTTACCCAAAGCCACGCAGTAGTTAGTAATCAACCAGGTTTTCTGACTCCTAGGCTAGTCTTCTTCCCCTCTAAGAGGCTTTTCCATACCTATATTTCTGTACTAGCATGTGAGGTGTACTCCCTATTGAGAACAAATGAGTTATTTCAGACCAATGTGTGCTGAGTACCTGCTAGGTGAAAGCACTTTGAGAATAACTAAGGCTATATACACGTCAGAGAGCCTTTTCAATGGACAATGTACAGCATGGATTATTCGACAGCAGCAAATATGTCCTGAGCATCTGCAAGGTACCAGGAAACATTCTAGAACTCAGCCCTAGACAAGGCAGACAACACAGCCTTGGCAGAAAATTAATTTTTTGGGGGAGATAACACAGTGCAGACAATTTTAGGAACACAGTTCCCTTGTTTTACAGATAAGAAAGAGACACATTGCCAGCATAATGTGGCTTATTAGTGGCAGAACCAAGACCGGAATCCAGGTTCCCAACCCCTGTTCAAGTGCTCGTCCTCTATGCAATGTTTCAACATTTTCATATACTTTTCTGCTACACTAAAATTAGCTGCTCTATTTAAAAATCTGTGCCCCAAGCAATGTATCAGCACAACCCAGGACCTAGGTAAAATGACCAAAACATTTTATCTTCTTCCCTTATTGGCAATGAAAAATTGAAAAAAAAAAAAAGTTTAAGCATGAAGCAAGACTCTGGCATACACATTAGGTGGCATCCCCACAAAGAACCTAATCTGAGAGATGGAAACAAGCCACGTGACCTTGCATCCCCTCTGCAAGAAAACCATTATCACTGATCCTCCTGGTTGTTATCCCAATAATGATGACAACGATATACCTTCAACATAATTTTGTTTCATTTTATTTTGCAGGCAGGAGATGTTTCCGTGGGGTTGGCTAACACATTTTTTAAAACCCATTGAAGGCCAGGCCTGTTGGCTCACGCCTGTAATCCTAGCACTCTGGGAGGCTGATGCTAGAAGGATCACTTGAGCTCAGGAGTTTGGGACCAGCCTGAGCAAGAGCAAGACCCTGTCTCTACTAAAAATAGAAAAATTAGCTGGGTGTCGCTGTGCACGCCTATAGTCCCAACTACTCTGGGAGACTGAGGCAGGAGCTTGCTTGAGCAGAGAATAATAGAAAATTAGTATAATAAGAAAATATAGAATACGACAAAAGAACACGTCACAGGAGAATACAGAGATATACAAACAAAACAAACAAACAAAAACCCACTGAAGCCATATACAATGGCCTAATATTGTCTCCCAAAATGTTTTTACTAAAATTAGTGAAGGTAAAATTGAATTTGTTTGTACTAAATTTACCTCTGAAATTTACATCACAATTTTACCGAATTTTAGACTATGTTTGAGTTAGATTTGGGGTGTTACAGGTTGCAAGTGAACCAATCAGGCTGTTTCAGAAATGGAGTTTTATTTTAAGGTTCCATATGATGGGGAGAGGAAACTCAGGGAACGCAGTACAGCCACTCAGCAGGCCTGATGGAGGGTAAACACTGTCGGGCGTCGGGAGGAGCTTGCTGTCCCCACCCCCACCCCACAAACGCTCTCAGCCACTTTCCCCACTGTTTCTGCTTCTTTTCATGAGTATTTCCACTTGTCCACCCGATAACCAACTGATTTGCTCCCCAAGTGTCATCATTCAGATTCTAGAGGGGACTCTGATGGGTCCAGCTGATCATCATTGTCCCTAATTGGGGACAATCAGCCCGCCTCTTAGGTTAAATCAGCCTGTGGATTGGCTGCCCTTGGGTCCGGTACCCACCACTAGTCTATTCAGCACAGGTGGCGTGGTCATGTGGTACAGACCTGGTTGCTCCCTCTGCAGGAAGCTGTGGTCTGGAAAATGTCCTCTGGGCAGCAGGGCAAGGAATAGCATGCACCATGAGTGACCAATACAGCAGAGGCTAGTCCAGAAAAATATAATGTTATTAAATTCTAGAACACTTTTATGAAATTACAATTTAATTTATTTCCAGTTTATGCAGCAATTCACATAAAGCTAAAAACCCTGAGAATCCTTTAAGGAGAGATCCATGAGGAACTTGCTTTAAAAACTAGATTTTTTAAAAAAATTTTTTAAAAATGATAACATTTTTAAAATGTATATTTGAAAAAAGACAAAACTGTTTATGATTAGCATATTGTATTCAATTCAACAGTATTATTTGAAGATCTAAACTCATTTACTTATCTGTAACGGGTTACATAATTTGAAAAGTACATATTGTCTTAAATATCTTAGGTAGTATACTTCTGATTTTATTTATTTTATCCAAAAGAAAAGGTATCAATAAAAAACTTTATTTTAAAATACCAGCCGGGCGAGGTGGCTCACGCCTGTAATCCTAGCTCTCTGGGAGGCGGAGGCAGGCGGATTGCTCAAGGTCAGGAGTTCGAAACCAGCCTGAGCAAGAGCAAGACCCCGTCTCTACTAATAGAAAGAAATTAATTGGCCAACTAATATATATGGAAAAAATTAGCCAGGCATGGTGGCGCATGCCTGTAGTCCCAGCTACTTGGGAGGCTGAGGCAGAAGGATTGCTTGAGCCCAGGAGATTGAGGTTGCTGTGAGCTAGGCTGATGCCATGGCACTCACTCTAGCCTGGACAACAAAGTGA